CAACTTCACAAATTTTATTTTTCAAGACGAGCACTTCTTTATCAAGTTTACTACCTAATTTCTTAACATTATTGTCTACGCCATCTAACTTAATACTTAGAAGTCTATAAACATCATCTAGCGAGATTCCTTTACCATCATCGCCCATTCTACTGATCAAGCAGGTCGGTCACCAAATAAAAATTGTGGGTACCTACCCAAGTAGGGAATCAACTATCAGGAATTTACAACTGACGATCAACAGGTGGCTCTGTAGGTGGTACTTCCTTGGGAATTGTTAGGATGCAAATTTCCCAACAAAATCACTGATTACAACAATAACTTCACAAAAATTGTTGCATTCACTGACCTGATCACTTGATGTTCATATTCTAGATCATATTTAAGTGGTTCAGAACGCACTTAGTAGCATTTGCATTCTGTAAAATGCCTAACAATAAGGAACACTAACGTAAACAAACAGCCTGAACGATCTGCAAATTTTGGGACGTTCAATAGCGCTGGTGGGTAGATAATCATGATTTGAAGAAAAAAAAACAAACAGAAAACACTATTTCATGTTGAACTCACCGTTTCCGAGTGAATAATTAATCAATCAATCAAGTTCGCAAAAATGCTGTTCAAATGCACCTGTTCCTCTGAAACCCTTCATAGGAATATGATTATTCACAAACGGGGGATGGAAACCATAATAAGAACAATATTATGAGGTCAGTTTTCCTGTAGAGAATTCCTGCTATTATATTTTTTTTATGTTCTGGTTCTCACAGGAATTGGTATTCTTCTTAAATTTCTGGAGGTTATATGCCTCGGGGAACACCTCCCTTGGCAATGTGTTTTAGAGCCCCGCTGTTCGTTGCATGAACGAGTCTTTGGAAATAGATGTTCTGCAGGTCTCCAAAGTGACCACGAAGGGGTGCGAAGCCTCAAATCGACGGGTTAATCTCGCGGAGACTGCCAAGGGAGGAACAATTTTTGATATTTCAGAATAGCATCGTCCATGAAATGAAATCCTATGAAATAGAGACAGATCGCCAACTTTTCTACGGTGTTCCAGAAAAGTGAGTGAGTTCGTGAGCGAGGCATCACCCACGAGACGAATTGCCCTTTTTTGGACAGAATCCAACAGTTTCAGGGTATGTTTGTGTGCTGCACCCAAAATATGGGAACAGTATTCCAGGACAGGTCGTATCTGTGCCTTATAGATCATAAGCAGCTGACTGGAAGTGCAATAGCTCCTGGCCCGAAACAGAAAACAATGTTTTTGGGATACACTTTTAGCAATTGATCTCACGTGATTTTCTCAAAAAGGTTATTGCTGATAGTAATACCAAACATCGAAATAGATGTCTTCAAAGGTATGGTTACTCCTGACAAGCTTATGTTGGGCACAGTGAAATCGGCATTTCTAGAGTCTATATTTATATGTTGTCAACAGTTCTCCCTCGTTCGTTTCTGTTTTACCTGGCTGGTATTGGAGCCCTAGAAGATGAAGCGATATGGAAGGTACTATCATCCGCGATGCTGTGTACTGAACATGAAGTTGCTTCCAACAAATCGTTGATATGGAGTAGAAATAGTGTTGGAGCTAGGATTGATCCTTGCGGAACACCAGCATTTATGATAAGAGAGTCAGATAAAACTCCGACGACCACTACATGGAGAGACCTGTTTGAGAGAAAACTAGCTAGGAGCGAACATAGCTGGGGAGGCAAGCCATAAGATGGAAGCTTGACGAGGAGTCCGTGGAGCCAGACTCGATCGAATGCCTTGGAGATATCAAGTACCACGGTTAGGTTTCACCATATTTTTCAATAGATTGCTGCCATATATGTGAGACGTGAGCAAGCAGGTCACCAGTTGATCTCTGATGACGGAAGCCATATTGCCTATCGTTGATAATACCTGAATGTGAATGGTACCGGGATAAAAAGTATCCTGTAACCTTCTCCTGGTTCTAAGATACTTCCCCACCAATTTTCAACCAAATCGATGCAGTAGTTTCGGAGCCTATTCAATACAAACAAACAATCAAATATTTCCTCTTTATAATATCAGTATAGATAACTATGATCCCATACATTCACAATAATAATTTGTTTCCCAATTTGTTGATCAGCAAAGAGTGATTATCAAAATCAGATTCTCCGCACTATGTTAATACAAAGTTACGTTTTCAACATCCCATCATCATGATTTACGCTTCGCATTTCCCCAAATCCATGTTTCATTCATATTTCCCGTTGGATTATCCGATTTCCCGAAGCTCGAATAACTCAACAAATATTTCTTTCGCTTTATAGACGCCAATATAATAAAGAGCAAAGTCATGTTCATCTATTCTGACAGGCGGGATTCTACACTCCTGGCCCCATAAAAATCCCTGAAAGCAAACTAGAAGGAAAAGGAAATTTCACACATACACAATATGTGCAACACTCGTGGTGATTTATATGTCAAGTATTTCTTGATGATCTGAAATATACTAGGTTTTTCATAATATGTGAGACCCACTTCGAGAGGTGATAGGGCGTAGAAGGCTTCGTTTGGGAGATACAGGGTATTAAAGTTGAAAATATTTATAGAATTTGTTTCATGTCCACCCTGTATGGTGTGGTGAAATTTTATAACTCCCCTTCCATTTTTTGAAAGATTTGACAATCCGAAAATTCGAGAAAAGTCAAAAGAGTACCATTTGTTATATTTTTTCGATGAAAAAGCTTTTGTTGTTGAGTGAAATCGCATCATCCATAGGCTAGATAAGACGATTTTGAATTTTTTGCGTGAAAAACAGATTTATTTTCCTGTTTTCATGATTTTTCGAAATAATTTTCTCTACAAGTTCTCGTGATGAATTTTCCCAACTTGTGAAAGATGTTACAAAATTAACACAATATCCTATATGTCACTGTGTTGATTTTCATTTCGACTGGTGAACAAGTTTCGAACCTTTTCGCCCTATATATGTATCTCTGTAGAATTTTTTCAGCTTTTGGAACGTTCTTGAGTCCATTCGATGTATTTTGTTCAATTTAACAAAATGGAAACATTTGCTGGATAGATTACATAATTCCAAATTTGGAGCCAAGAGAGCGGTTAAGAAATATTGCTATTATTTCTATAGAGTCTGACAACAGTGACAACGCAAGACATCAAGGAATGACATAAATCATTAGCTAGGCTCTACCAGAAACTTTTTGAATGGTATGCTGCCACTTCTGACCAGACCAGGAGAGTTAATAATCTTTTTGTCTTACAGTTTCCGGAACTTGTAACTCATCTTCTTATGGCGCTTCATTTCAATATTTTCTTATCTTTTGTATAATATTTTCCCATCTTTTGTGTTTGCTCCTGGAGCTTTTTTTGCAGATAAAAATAGAGAAAATGTTCATCAATAGCAATATCAACATGTGTCCAAAAATGCGTCCCAAGGGCACTAGAGCTCTTTGAAGGCAGGTCCCTCGATGCATTTTTCTAGAATAATCCTTTTCTACTGCTATAACACAAAATTCCTTTTGTTTTACTGTGTTCGATACACCAATTAGGTACCTACTTTCTATGTCATCAATTTTATGTGCGTAACTGATATCATAATGACTCCATTGTGTTATTGTTTAAAAAAAAAAAGCTCATCGCCCATGGAATGTCAAATTTCAAGCAATGACAATGTGTCAAATAGATGAGCATTACTTGAGAGGATGTCAGATGACAACAGACGAAGAAATGAAAAATGTCGCCGTTATCTGTTACAGCTGTAGTAAAATTATCGTGTTTAACTCGCACAGAATGCTAATTTTCCACTAGAATGATGCTGTAAACTTCATTTTGTGGAAAATCATCATTCCGTGCTCGTTGAACAAGTTGTATCAAAATTCACAACACATTTGAGTGTTATATCGAAGACTGGAACCTTTGGCCCGATAAAACACTACACACTGTTTTACCACTAACCAAACCGAATTTTACCACTTCGAAACGTGTTTTGCTAACTATGTTAACATCTTCAGGAGAAAATTAAAACTTTTCAAATCTTGGTGAGAAGAAATATAGGTACTGTACCTTATTAGTATCCATCACAACATATCTAATCACCCTTTCCATCTTCCACACTGCAGAAACGACAGTCTGTTGTTTGGTCGAGACTCATCCTTCTTAGTTAGTATGTTAGACGACACTGTCCGGCAACCAGTCAGAATTCACAGGTTATTTCTGCTTCTCTCTCGGATCTGTCTGGTTATATTTTTCGATGTTTCAGGTAGAAACGCCTCCGAATGAGTGAATCCAGGTAATCCAGACCAGTACGTGAGTTTTTTCAAAAACCAGTTGTTATGGCAGCACTAGACTTGCGGTGACACCAAAGTGAGGTTATGGTCGTATGCACGCTAATTCGGTTGCCTCTGTTTGGCGACGATGTCGGTTTTCTTGCTGCCCTTCACTCTCTGATATCCGTGTACCCATAGTGAAGTAACATTAATGTTAGCACCCGTCAGATACTCTCGGGATTTAATATAGTTCCAGAAAAACTTCGATTTCATCATGCTGGAGCTCAGCGCTTCGAGAGCAACTTGACTATCTGATACAATAACTATATACTTTCTTGCTCACAATTCAACGGCGAGGATCTCTTCCTGGAGATTGACTGAGAATTTCGTCTTCAACTCTCTGCTGAGCATTCCGGCTGAACATTACGTGTTCGGTCTCTGGGGATTGGAGTGATCATCTCTCCTTTCTCACACGTCTCTCTTCAGGAAGAGGGCTTTGAAATACCTTCCTAAGTATATCTGAGTAGGTCTGGCTCCTCTGACTTTATGATTCTTGAAGTCGTCACTGTACCATAAAAGTCTGGCATAGTACCAGCAAAACTGTATGTTTCCATTCCCAATAATTGACTGGTGGGTGGGGAACAAACAAAAAAGATACAGAAGCAATTGTACCTTGCCTTGTTATTATTAATTTCTATCCAACGGAACCGAGACTTCAAAGTCTGCACTCTGTTACAGGTGAAGGAATACGAGCTGTCCGAAGTGTTCCACCACTCCGAAGATGACAGACAGTACGAGGTGCTCAAGATGGATCACCAGAACGCCATCGACGTCTTCAACGGCAACAACGACATCCAGAAGGCCATAGAGGAAGAGAGAGAGGAGCAAGAGGTGCATGACAAAAGTTACAGACAGAGACCTAGGCCGAGGCCTCTGAAAAGCTTCACTTTGTCCACTCCTTACTCGACAACGCCATTGAGAAGCGGGTTTTATGTCACGGAGGACAGGTTGTCCAATACGATGTGAGTATTTACCACATCAGGTAGCTGATCGCCACACAAAAGAAGGTGTAGTCTTTCAAGCAAATGTCACCTGATAGCAGAGCTCAGGAAATGAGAAGAGACCGAAGAGTCCTCCTACTAGTGGAAAGGTTCATCAACCATTCGCAAAACCGAGCCAAAGAGTTTTCTCACATACGGCACAATCATACAGTGTGTCCCACTTACCATGCTAACCATGGGTATCTTTTTAACGGTGAGAGATACGAGGTCGGTTGAATGACACCAAATGTGGAGTTTGTCAAGGCCAACTATAATGAGAAAAAATATTTTGATAAAATCTATTCGTTTTTGTTTTATACACAAAAAACAGATTTTGATCATTTTCATGTATCCTCCGTAACTTCTTTAGTCATGAAAACATTCAAATAGAAATTTCACATTCTCATGGTAGTTTTTTTAAGTGATTTCGGAAAATATATAAGATTGATACCAACTCTTCTAGAATTTGAGATAGTAATAGTTTTGTGTTGATAACAACGGAGCTATCGTCATTTATACAAAAACAAAAAATTATTTGAATGCCGCCATCTCGAATTTATAAATTTGAACAAATAAATCATGATCTCCGAAATCAAAAACCCTCATTTACCAATTTTCAATGGAATAACACCAAATCTTGTCCGCCATCTTGGAGCAGTCATTTTTTTTTAATTTCAACAAAAATTCCATAACTCCGATTAACTTGAAATTTGGCAAGTGGGAGTTTTTGAGGTCGGAGATCCTGATTTTCTTGTTAAAATTTATGAATTCAAGATGGCGGCTTCCAAATAATTTTTTGTTTTTGTATAAATGACGATAACTCCGTTGTTATCAACACAAAACTATCAATGCGACAAATCATCTGTAAGAGAAAACAAAGTTATTTGTAACTAAGTCATAGTGAGCTATGACCTACATTTGAAAAACTGAAGTTGGTGCTGATATCTCAAATTCTAGAAGAGTTGGTATGAATTTCATATTTTTTTCGAAATCACTTTGAAAAACTGCCATGAGAATGTGAAATTCCTATTTGAATATTTTCATAAATAAAGAAGTTACGGAGGAGACATATGAAAATGATCAAAATCTGTTTTTAGCGTATAAAACAAGAACGAATGGATTTCATCAAATTATTTTTTCACATTATAGTTGGCCTTGACAAACTCCACATTTGGTGTCATTTAACCGACCTCGTATCTCTCACCGTTAAAAAGATACCCATGGTGAGCATGGTAAGTGGGACACACTGTATACCATGAATATCCTGTGCATATTGCGTTGGAATATTGGCAAACGTCATGGATATTTCCTGTCTCCGTAAATGATAAAAATCAACATACAGGATGTAGATATGTAATATACTTTGAGGCTTGCACTTTATACAGGGTGAATCTGAATAATACCGAAAAAATTCAAGGGGTGTTTACTTGTGACATTCTTGCAAATAAAGTTTACATAAACATGTGTCCTAACTTGCTCCGTTTCTGAGATACAGGATGTTGAAGTTAGAAGTATCGATTGCTCTTATTTATAACCCCCCAGTATAAGCTTCCATGGTGCCAAAATTCAGTATGCATGGAGAAAAATGATTCTAATTGGGGTTATCGAGTAATCTCAATGGAAGTATTGAAAACACCTACATGAAAATTTAGAGTCAAATCGAATTTTTATTGATTCCTCAAAAACTAAGATAGATACAAAAATCACACAAAGGATAAAAAAGTTCTTATTTAAATAGTCCAATCTGATAAAAATATGAAACGCAGAAAAACCGGTTGTGTACAATGACAATCACCATGAATATAGATTAATTTACCCACTGTGACGCCACTGGAAATATTATTCCGAATATAATTGCACTAGAAGAAGCTCCATATTACTATCAACAAAACCACAACGTTTTATTGAAATTGATGAAGCGACAATTGAGAAATGAATGGAAAAAAGATTTTTCATGAAAATATTAAGTGGATGATATCGATGATACTTCAGTTTCTCCTCTATTAAGGGGTAGAAGACGAGGTAAATATTTGAAATTCCAGAACGGACTCCGTCTTTCTCACTAAATATCTCCGCCTCGCTCGTTCGATAGGCGCATCTTATAACCGCGAAGAAGACATACGAGGGGATGTCCAAGATTATTCGAGAGCGAAATATAGAAAAGTGAAGGGTGAATTTTCAAAGCTGCTCCTCTGTATGATAGTTAGAAGGGTCATTTTATAGCATGATAGCGAAACTGCTGTTCTTTTTCTCAAGATGATTTCATCAAAACTCTCTTGATCTATTCATCATATTTCTCGACTTTTGAGTGGAATAGGAATTTCCACAAGGATACAAGGATTATATTGTTATTGAATATATTCATCAGTTTGCTGTATATTGACCGATATGGGGAAGATGCTATTAGAAACTATATGACAAATTTGATATACAGGGCAATTCATGAAGAGACTCACATAGCCAAATGGTGAGTAGGGGAAAACAAAACAAGTTGAGATTCCATGTAGGTATGAAAGATTCTGTTGGCCTTCAATAACGAAGATATTATGTGAAATTGCCATATTATGATTTCAATGGCCGACATTTCAGATATGATTCATCCCAATTAGGCAGTGACGTTTCTTTATTCAAGATGGCATATTATAAAAAAATCAGATCCAAAAAATTTCATGTTCTCTTGTTATGAAGAAAAAGCTCATTTTGTGATCAGTTTCCTAGAAAAATTTCATCAGATTCAGGAAGATCAGACATAATGCCTTAAGAACTGCTCTTCAATTTGCACGACACACGTTGATCGGTTCATTAAACAATATGAAACAAGAACGTTCGAATGAATTTTCAATTTGAACCTAGCTGATGATAACTCTCTCATTTCAACTGGATTGATGTGAATTTATGATAGGAATCGACAGATATAAGTAGCTGATAAAAAACCACAGAACTGCTTTTTTGGTGATTTGAAATGTTCGTTCTTGATCGACATCGTGACTTGTTTCTGTTTACAAATATTGCAAATATCAATGAAGTAATAATGAAATAGTATAGGCGGTGTTTTTCATCATTTGACGTGACGTGACATCTGTTGACATTCCGAAAAGATGGGTAGGAACTGGTGAAATTATGGCATGAAGATTTATTAGGATCTTTGGTAGAAGTCCATATTGCTCGAAGTGAAGTGAAATAATTCACAGGAAGGAAGGAATGCTCGAAGATAATAGATATTGTGAAATGCCTATGCTCATGGTCAGATTTTCATGTTTTATCCCTTGACATTGACTCTATGTCAACGTCTTGTCCATGTCTTCAATTGACATAATTTTCAGTGTTTTCTAACCAAATTAGTTTAGATTTAAAACACGTGCTGGCTGCTTGTCCCATCAATTTTATTGATATTTGCTTTAAATAATGCCTTCATAAGGGAACGGGGAACCCCTTTTTTAAAAACCCGCTAGTTTATGGTGTTGTCAGATATTAAATTGTTTGACAATACCCTTCATATACCACTTTGGGTATATGAAATGTTCTTTAATAAAACATAGTACACGCTCTTAGGGCACGGGGCCCTTCATTTATTGAGAACCCGTTTATTCAATATTCATTTTGGAACTCTCGACTATGGGCATTGAAAGTAAATAATTTTTTAACTCCAAGTAAGTCTAGCATGAAATAGGTAATCCTTTCATTTCAATATCATTTGTTTTTGTATTGTAGACTTTTCAATTAGGCTGAAGATGGTCTTTTATAAGACCGAAACATGTCCCTCATGATTAGTTAAAAATATCATTAAAATTTGTGGAGATGACTTCGAGCATTCCTTCCTTCCTGTTTATTAGGATGTTCTGAATATTCGAGATAATTCTGTCGCTTCCTTGTTCACGAAAGTGTGCTGCTGAGCAACACCACGACGAATGGTATTTCAACAATGAAAGACAGAATCATGAGAACATATTCAGAACGGAGTTGTAATTTGCTAGAGAGAGAGAAAGAATTTCTTATAAATTAGCGATTCATATTCTGACGACAGATATAAATATTTTATGCCAAACTGACAGTCTTTGCTCCGCTATCCATGGTTACATCTTTGAAAACACCAACGCTGATAGACCAATCAGAATTGAAAGACCGCTTGTGTTTTCGCGATTACACACGTTGTGATGTGATTGATCAGATTATGTAATAAATGAAATTATAGTATATTGTTTAACGAGCACGAAATGATAGTGATTTCCTACGAGAATGAAGTTTGCCATATGCTGCCATAATTTTTCTACGGCTATAATAGATAACAGCGACATTTTCGATTTCGTCGTCCTGTAGCCATTTGATTTCCTGTCAATTAATGCTCATCTATTAGACAGCGGTGTCATTGCTCACATTTGACATTCCATGAGCAATGAGATTTATTTGAAATAATAACACAATAGAGTCATTGTGATATCAGATACGAAAATAATATTGATGATATACAAAGTACCTCATTGACGTATCGAGCACAGTAAAACGAGAGCAATTGTGTGTTATAGCCGTAGTAAGGTTTTACTCCTATACATATTCTTGGGTCTGTAAATCTTCTATGGTATTGAACATTGCAAACATTTGAACTTTTTCCATGTTCAGCATTTGAAAAATAAAGTGACATCTTGAGTCGATTTTTCATGAAAAGGCATCTTTCAACAGGAAAACGAACCTCATAATATTGTTCTTCATCGTTATAAGAATTTTCACATGAATTCTGTGGAGGCTATCAGCATCAGCATTTTTGCGAACGAAAATTAGTATTCTATGCATCGATCACGAGGAAACCATGCATGTATATAGGAGTGTATTGATAGTTCAATATCATGATAGTTTCATACACTATTTTTTGTAGGACCACAAGTAGGAAGTGACAACTTCGATGGCCGGTATAG